GTAAAAATACCATACAGTGTTCGAAAATACACCATTAGGGTGTGGTGAGTTATATGGTGTATTTTTTTTTTGGATCTGTTGTTTATTTTTTGGTATTTTTTTTACATTTCATTGTGGTGTGTTTCTCTTACACTGTTGGTGCATGTTGTTAACACTGTTGGTGTATTCTGAAATTCCGTTGCACCTAAGAATATCGCGGCATTTGAACTTTTTAATATATATATATATATATATATATATATATATATATATATATATATATATATATATATATATATATACTAGTTTTTTACGCGCATTGCGCGATTGGGATAATGCCCAATATTTTTTTTTTTTAAATAAGTACTTTAAAGTATATCAAGGCAAGATTATATTGGAATTGTTCATGTATAGATAATTGAATGTTGAATTTGTTATTTAAATAGGTAATTCTAAGTTTACAATTGCAAGATAATATAGTCAAGATTGATTATAATTGTCAATAAAATAATTGTATAGGTATGGTTGAAATCAAAATACGGGACATAAGATAGAGCAAATAAAAATTAGGGCATAAAATATTAAATATATACTAATATTGAAGAGCTAATTGGTGATTGTCAAACAAGGACATTGCGATGTATTTTCCCACTTCAAATTATTATGTGATTTGAATACTCTTTTTGTCAATAAGTCCCCCAAGTAGTTAATATGATTGGCTTAATTTTTTTTAAACAATTATTATTATTATTATTATTATTATTATTATTATTATTATTATTATTATTATTATTATTATTATTATTATTATTATTATTATTATTATTATTATTATTATTATTATTATTAAATATATGTATACCCTTAGATCATTTTAAATGTTAATCTAAACAGCTAATATTTTCAAATATCTTTTACTTAATTTATTGATAATGAATAATTTTTTTGAATAAAGACATTATAAACACATATTCTAAATTAAAGAAATGCATATGTATTATTTTTTGTTGTAGCTACTAAATTATTATTTAATAATTAAATAAGAGTAAAATAGAGTACTAATTATGTCAACTTTGATTAGGATGGAGTTCGAACCTAAGAACTTTCTTATTGAAATCAATGAGTAAGTTAACGGTGAACTAACGAAAATTAACGGAAAAGATAATATTTAATGGAAAAGTTAACAGATAATCATATTCATTAAGGATAAATTAGGAAATCTTAAGGAAAAATTAAAATCTGATCAATCTGAGCCATTCATTTGATTAAAAAAATTGACCGCCATTTTTTCTACCCATTATAGGCCTAACTCTCTTGGACTCTTATTAGTATATACTAGTTTTTTATGCGCATTGCGCGATTGGGATAATGCCCAATGCTTTTTTTAAAGTATATGTCTTGCTTTTTTTAAAGTATATGAAGACAGGATTATATTGAAATTATTCATGCATAGATAATTGAAGGTTGAATTTGCGTATTTAAATAGGTAATTCTTCTCCCAAAAGTTGCATCACCAACCCCAAGGGCCCCCCACACTCCGACCCGACAGAGCATTGTGGGAAGTTGTAAATCACGGTGGCTCAATGGTTCAGCAGACAGGGTCAAATGCTGATACGCACAAGGAATCTATTTGCATATTTAAATAGGTAATTCTTCTCCCAAATGTTGCGTCACCAACCCCAAGGGCCCCCCACACTCCGACCCGACAGAGCATTGTGGGAAGTTGTAAATCACGGTGACTCAATGGTTCAGCAGACAGGGTCAAATGCTGATACGCACAAGGAATCTGCCCACTTTGGACATAATTCCCGCACTGCCGCCGCCGAGGTTCAAACCTTAGTCTCTTCTCCCAAATACTACCCACTAAACCATTGAGCTAAGCCTGTGCGGGTTAAATAATAGGTAATTCTAAGTTTACAAATGCAAGATAATATAGTCAAGATTGATTATAATTGTCAATAAAATAATTGTATAGGTATGGTTGAAACCAAATACGGGACATAAGGGAGAACAAATAAAAATTAGGGCATAAAATATTAAATATATACTAATATTGTTTGAGAAGATTCCGACATTAGGATTTGTGGTTAAGTTCTATTAAGACTTTAATATTAGAATTAGATTAATGGTGTAGTTATAATTCTATATTAGACTTTAATAATTAAATAAATTCGCTGGTCAAATCCCGCTAGTATAATCCGCTAACGCTAACCGCTAACTGCTGATTGTCAACCAAGGACATTGCGAGGTAGTTCTCACTTCAATTTGTTGTGTGATTTGAATACTCTCTTTGTCACAAAATCTCTCAAAGTAGTTAATATTGTTGGCTTTATTAATTATATTTTTTTAATTTTTCATGGCACTACTGGAAATTATGAAATTTCCGACCACCTGAAAGTGATCTTAAATCAATTCGAAAGCAAAAAGTGGTCGGAAATAGCAATAATGGTTTTTCCGGATACCAAAAGTGGTCGGAACAAGACTTTCAACTTGATTTAAGATCACTTTCAGGTGGTCGGAAATTCCATAATTTCCAGCAGTGTGGTATTAATAAAATACTTGGTAAATAAATATATAGCATTATTTTGTATTATAACTTTGATATTTAATTAGAAAAACAGTGCACAAAAAAGATAATAGATAATGTAGTGAATATAATCCATTGATGAATTTGAATGTAAAAACTTTACATTTGAGAAAAATAAAGACAATATAACTAATGAAAATATTTCTTTTAATTAATTTATTGATAATTAATAATTTTTTTTTCACTGAATAAAGACATTGTAAGGATAATGTAGCGAATATAATCAATTAATAAATTTGAATATAAAGAATTTTTATATTGAAGAAAAATAAAGACAATATAACTAATAAAATTATTTCTCTTATTTAATTTATTGATAATGAATAATTTTTTTTTTTGAATAAAGGCATTATGGACACATAATTATAAATTAAAGAAATGCATATGTATTATTTTTTGTTGTAACTACTAAATTATTATTTATATAATTTAATAAGAGTAAAATAAAGTACTAATTATGCCAACTTTGATTGGGATGAGGTTCGAATATAAGACCTTTTTCTATTGAAATCAATGAGTAAGTTAACGGTGAACTAACGGCAATTCTTAAAATTTTAACGGAATTAGTAACGGTGTGTGGGTATTTTAGGAAATTTTAGTGTAAAATTTAAATCTGATCAATCTTTCAATCAATCTGAGTCATTCATTTGATTAAAATCTGTGACCGCCATTTTTTCTACCCATTATAGGCCTAACTCTCTTGGGCTCTTATTAGTATAGTAGATATATATATATATATATATATATATATATATATATATATATATATATATATATATATATATATATATATATATATATATATATATATATATATATATATATATATATATATATATATATATATATATATATATATATATATACTGACCTAGGCATTACAGTATAACATTGTTGGGTTGGGCTTCCCTCCTATGTGAAAATAGCTCATGTTTGGACCAACCCTTTTTGTATCCACTATATATTTTGTTTGGACCTCCACTCATCTTGAGCCATAATTATTATTATCGTTATTATTATTAAATATATAATAATATTAGGGATTATGAAGAGTTGGATGTTAGATCTAAATAGTCTAACTGATACTGAACAATAGTATACGAGAGATCTGACCTCGTATGAGCGGAAGCGATAGCCGTGTATCTCCAGCCATAGTTGATGTTCCTGTTGTGTTGCCTCTTAATGGTAGACCGTTAGCCATGTTTTGCCTCAGACTTGACTCAGAACCCTAGATGGTGTATTGGTATCTACTGAGCAGTCTGAGTACCGTAACTGAATGTGCTAACATCAATCATCCTGTATCCCATCAATCCATGATTATATTAGGCACAAAGTTTAGTGGACTAACAACTTCTAGTTATTCAGTCTAACCAGACCACTTAATAAGACTAGTCCACTTGCACCACTTAATTAAGGCCCTAATATATAATACGGAGTATATATTATTAGGGAAAATCTTTCATTGGAAACTAGGAGTCCTTTGGCATCTTGTGACTTTTCATGTTCTTCATTCCCTATAAATATGCTTAGGGATTTTGGATGCAAGATGGCCACTTGACACACACACACACATGATATTGATTTGGCAGTAGTGCAAGACAGTAGAGAGCAGTGAAACAAAGCCAAGTTTCTTTTGCTTCTTTTTGTCTCTTTGGCCGGTCTTGTGAGGACATTCTCTACTACTTTTAGCGGCACGACGACAGCGTGTTCGGCGGGTTTTGTCGCACGTTTGATGGATTTGTCGTGAGGTTTGCCGAAGATCTTGGGTACTTTCTTCATCAAATATTTGTCGTGAGGTTTGCCGAAGGTCAGCTTGTTTTTTCCAGGCATCGTTTTGGGTAATCGCTTGTTTGTTCCAGGCATCGTTTTGGGTAATCTCGTAATATTTGTATTCTTTTCACCTTGCTTTGTGGTGGTTGAATATTTTAAGTACGAGTTGGTATCCTTTTTAGGTCTGTGAAACAATGTAGAAATATGTGACCTAGAATTATTGTATTTGATGCTTTTGAAACTTTGTACCCAAGATTTGTTATAATGGAATTGTTGTTGGTGGTGGTCCATGATTTTTCCCTGTGATTTTGAAGTTTTCTACGTAAATCTTGTGTCCCTTCCATTGTTATTTATTTTGGACTATTAGGCTATTATGTTATCTCGTATTTGTGAACCGTGTCGGGGTCTGTGATTTTCATTGTCACAGGAAGTGGAATTTTTCCCAACAAACATAAATAGGGGAGAAACAACCATGGTAGATGTTCGTGCAATACAAAAACTTTTTCTTTTTTCCGTTTAAAAAGGCCATAAATTAACTTCGGCCTGAAAATTTACAAACAACATCAATAATCAGGTAATGCTCTGATGCAGTTCCTAGGACACAAGTGGGGGAATAACACTTCAATAACCAGTTTTCAGAATTGTTGCCCCATGACTATAATTATGGTGATGAGCGTAAAAACTTCCGAGCAGCATCCAAACTCAGTTCTTCATACACCTGAAAGCAAAAAAAGAAGGTCCATGGTTGAAAAGATGAGAGATTTACAGTGACTGCATCTTCCTTAAACTACACAAGTTGTACTTACAAGTTTCTTATAAACTTCTTGAAATGCCTTGCAAAACTTTTCTGCTTCTTCTTCACCAACCTGTAAAATTTCTCGACTAACTGGAGTTATGAGAATGAGAGCAAGGGATGCTCTAAGCCTCTAACACACAAAAGATTACACAAGTGATATATGTGCAAGACTCCCACACAAATAATACTTGATATGTATATTATTTATTACAGTATATAATTTAGCTATCAAAATTATTAGGTATAAGCAGCAGAGTTTGCATATAAATAAGTATTCACCCTTTTCACTATGTAGAAGAAACAAAAACCCGACCATCAATAAAAAGTACACCTACCCAAAAGACTGATACCGATCCATCTTGATGAAGAAAGTAGATGGGATCTCAAATGGACTATGTTTGTTTCACGTCAACATTTTTTTCCTGGGTAAATTATGTATTTCAATAAGAAACTCCTTTCATAAAGCTAATAGTCACTTAAGCATGGGAACTTAAGAAGAATCTTCTTCCGGTGCATGTATTGTGATATTAAGGTTTCCATATGTTTCATAAGACATATAACCTACCATCAGAGGTTTTCTCTGAAAAGTCTTCAGAGATCCTACAATTAATTCTTCATCCACTTCTCTTTTTCCTTGAAAGTGCTCAAACAAATCATTTCATCATCTAGGCAACTTCATCCTCCTTCAACTTTAATGAACCACATGACACAAGAATTGCCACCGTGCATCTTCGCTTTCCAACATTCATTACAAATAAAAGACTCAATGTTGCATCCTGAAAGTATTTCTGCATAATGATCACTTCTCTGTAGTGATACCTTTGAACTTTCATCATCTTAATTTAATTTACTATAAATCTAGTTACATACTTTTTAAGAATATACAATTAAGTTACTCCGTATAATGTTACACTATATATATATTTTTTTTGGTGTAAACCACGAGGTGGTCCGGGTCTTTCTCTGTCCGTTTAACGGTCCAGGTCAACCCCACTAATCCCCGTTCGCTCCGAGAGGCACGGGAGGTGGTCCGGGTTTTAATGTTACACTATATTAAAACCGTAAAGTTTAGGATATGTGAGTCTTGTACAGTTGTTTATCAACATGGACACATTAAACAAAGTAGGATTTGATGTTTGACTAATGAAACCAATGATATCAGAAAAGTAAGAAAGGAAGTGGCTACACTATCAACAAGAGTTTCGAGCCTTGAAAAGACACAAGTCACTGAAAGGAATATAATGATGATGCAAGAAACTAAGTTCCCACTGTTGAAAAAATTATGGTATAGATCTGAAATTTTTAGAAAGGGAAGTGGTAAACCAATATAGATTCCATCTAATATTATTGTAACAATGTGAACTCATTGCACATGCTAGAGAGCCTCATGAACCAATAGAAGATTCATAGCAAATTAGCAACTAGAATGGAAAATGTTACTCATGCTATATGTATCAGGTAGCAAAGATTGCTTATAAAGAGCTAGTCGGAGCCCATTCAAGTAAATTTCCCAATCAGCTAGAAAAGGATGCAAGGGTAGGCTTGCCATCAATAATCAAGGAAATAAACAAAACAAGAATAAGAAGACAAACCTGTTTCTCAGCAGCTTGCTTCAGTTTGTCCCAAAATGAATCTCCTGTTACATGACAAACAATCTAGTTAACCAAAAATCTCAACCATATGAGACAAAAACTAATTAAAATATGAATATAAATTACAGGTCTGCACCCAGTGTTTCTGGATCCACATAACACTTAAAAATTGTACTGGAGCAAAAAGGAATGTTAAGCTGAAATGCAACACAAATCAGTGTGCAACTTCTTTGCACTGATACATTTGAATTAAGTAATAAGTAAAAAATAGGCATTTTCCAGTCTATTGAAAAGGTATAAATGCTTAATGCAGAAAAAATATAATACCATTGCTGTCGATTTCCGCTTTATTCATTTTTTCCTGATAATGAACTCTTTGATATTAGAACCCCATAAATGATAAACCTATAAATCAAACTTGACATCTAATGGATATTCTATATTTACCACAAGCTCTCGCAATGATTTTGATGTCAACTTTCTGGATGATCTTGATGGAGTCAAATTTCTGGATGATCTTGATGGCGTAAAATTTCTTGATGATTTTGATGGATTCAGTTTCTTCGACGATTTTGACGAGTCCAAATTTCGCGATGACTTTGATGCCTCAATATTTCGCGATGACTTGGACGACGTCAAATTCTTCCCTGATTTAGACGCCTCCAAGTTTCGCGATGACAACGACGCTGATAACTTCATCTCAGTTTCAAGCTGCAGGATGTGCAAAGCTCAGAAGTGAAAACAAAAGCATAAAAGGATGCAAATTTTATAAATGTATCGGACACTAATTTTGCATTTCGGTGTAATCTGAAACCAAATTTGATCTAGACTCCGGAATCAGGGTACCCTGCACGAAGATCAGAGTACGTGGCATGCATGATAACAGAGAGAGGTAAGGTGGTTTACGTCGTAATCGCGAGTACGAACGACCGCGAAGTGCTCGAGAAGGCGGTGGAACTCGAATTCATCCATGGCCGGAGCCGCTACCTTCAGATTATAGCTTCAAAAGGGTTGAGTAATCCCTAACACTTAACAACGGTGACAAATTGGGGTCTTGAGATTGAATCTTGTCAAGATCCTTTTAGTTGCGTATTTCATCCCTCCCTATTTCATTTCATACTTTAATTACAACACTACTATAAAAATCTAAATTTTTACGTCATTAAATTTTCGATTTTTTTTTTTCAAAAAATTAAATTCGATTATTTTTTAAAATCAACATATATAATTATTTTTTAAATTATTTTAGAACAAAGTTATACATGTTACCAAGCACCTTGTGTTCAGATGACATGTAATAACTCTTCCATATGGGAGGTCATGAGATCTAGGTTGAGAAAGTATTAGGGGGTGTAAAGAGCCGAGCGGCTCGGTCAAAGCTCGGCTCGAGCTCGGTCAAAATCGAGCTCGAGCCGAGCTCGAGTTCAAATATTCTAGGCTCGTGGCTCGTCGAGCCGCTCGCGAGCCATAATTAAATAAATAGATAAATATTATATATATATATATATATATATATATATATATATATATATATATATATATATATATATATATATATATATTACTTAAAACTCGCAAAGTAAGAAAATTCTAAATCTTGAAGTTTGAACTTTTAAATTTTTTATTATTTATGTATGGATAAAATAATATTTACTATTAATTAAAATATGAATTCAAATATATCAAACTCGATATTAAAATAGAGCCTGAACTCGAGCTCAAATCGAGATTGAACTCGAGCTCAAGATTGAGCTTGAACTCTTGAGCTCGAATAATCGAGCTACTCGAGTCGAGCTCGAGTGGCTCGAAAAATTGCCGAGCTGAGCTCGAGCGGCTCGAAAAATTGCCGAGCCGAGCTCGAGCATCATTTTTTGAGCTCGAGCCAAGCCAACCCAGGCTCGAGCTCGGCTCGGCTCGTTTACACCCCTAGAAATCATGTATGAACAGATACTACAATGTAATAGAGTCAGTAGCACTAAAAAAAAAGTTATACTTATTGATTTTGGGAAAGAATCTACAGCTTTATTATTATATTTTTTAAGCACGTATAACATCTACTATACTAATAAGAGCCCAAGAGAGTTAGGCCTTTAATGGCAATCGTTATACCATACACCATGTTGCACGTAGGACTATGCGCCTATCTGTTAAACGGTGTCGTTTTGAAATTTCGCCGTTAGTGGCATTTGACGGGACGAACGCCTCTCCGTCCGTCCGTCCAATATATATATATATATATATATATATATATATATATATAATATATATATATATATATATATATATATATATATATATATATATATTATATATATATATATATATATATATCAGGCCTTTCTTCTTCACAAAGTCTCCATCACCACTCTCAAGCATTCAAAACCGAGCACTATTTTTCGCGAAAGACAGCAAAACCCGCAAAGTCTGAATCCTTCACCACATTCCTCTGCAAGAGCAATACACCAGCGTGAGCAAAGGTGAGCATAACTAGGATTGCATAACACTATGATTATGAAATCCAGACATTCATGATATTACTACATTATGTTAATATAGCAATGTCAACTAGGGTTACATATTACTTAGACTTGTGTTTATTCTGATATAAGATTATGTACATTAGTGTTTTCAGTTGCTATACCTCATCATAGATATCCGCTATTCTTATACTCAAAATTATGTGTATCCTGGTTATATATTATGTGTATTACTTCATAACATTATGTACATTATACATTTGCATCCCTGTAAACTTCTCAATCCCAATCTATTGTCTGTCTGGTTTTAATATTAGTGTTACCTATTACTTAGAACTATGTTATGTGTATTATGTTATTACAACAATGTCAACTAGGGTTACATATTACTTAGACTTGTGTTTATTCCGATATAAGATTATGTACATTAGTGTTTTCAGTTGCTATACCTCATCATAGATAACCACTATTCTTATACTCAAAATTATGTGTATCATGGTTATATATTATGTGTATTACTTCATAACATTATGTACATTATACATTTGCAACCCCTGTAAACTTCTCAATCCCAATCCATTGTCTGTCTGGTGTTAATATTAGTGTTACCTATTACTTAGAACTGTGTTTATGTGTATTATGTTATTACAACAGTGTCAACTAGGGTTACATATTACTTAGACTTGTGTTTATTCTGATATAAGATTATGTACATTAATGCTTTCAGTTGCTATACCTCATCATAGATAACCACTATTCTTATACTCAAAATTATGTGTATCTTGGTTATATATTATGTGTATTACTTCATAGAATTATGTACATTATACATTTGCACCCCTGTAAAATTCTCAATCCCAATCTATTGCCTGTCTGGTGTTAATATTAGTGTTACATATTACTTAGACTTGTGTTTACGTGTATTATGTTATTACAGAAATGTCAACCACTACAACCACTAATCCCCGGAGATCTCCAAGAAATAAACATATTGCACCTACATCAACACCTCCAATCACTACTGATCCTACGCTACGAGAAATTGCCAAAGAGGGTAAACGAAGGAAAAATACTGCTACTGCATCAAAAGGTGCTGAAACAGATTATGAACCAGCAAATGTTGAAATCAGAACAGATACCAATGATGACCCCAAGCAGCCTACTGCCAAAAAATAAAAGACAACCCACACCTGTACAACTGCCCAACATAAAAAAAAAAAAAAAGAAAAAAAAAACCAAAGAGGATAAGAAAGGAGGAAAAAGAAAAGAAGAAAAAACCAAAACACAGTGATTACTTGGCTGTAAGGACCTCCCCAAAGTAGCTCTGTGCACTTGTGAGCAGTTTGAGCCTGGAACAACACCTAAGTTGTTCGAGATATAGGATTTGGATCCCTTTTAAGTGCAACATTTTCTTCATATGATGGTGAACTTCTGAGATACCTTCTTGAGCGATTTGATGTTGGTAGATGCTCGATCCATATGGAAGAGGAAGAGCTCCTTCTAGGAAATGATGATGTACATTCAACACTTGGTATCCCCAAAGGCCAACAGACTGTTATAGAGGGTGAAGTAACGAGCAAAGACCCACAGTTCAAACACTTGGTTGCACTTTGGAGAGAACGGTGGGGAATAAAGACAGGCGCACCAACAACGAGCCAGATGCTGAATGGGATCATTGAGAGGCGTGACCATGGCGACATGTTCAAGTGTGATTTTATAATCTACATTGTTTCCACACTGATAAAAGGTTTCAAGAATATGTTTTGCAACTACAAGCTCCTCTATTCACTGCAAGAAGTCAGCAAAATCAAAAACTTCAACTGGTGTGCTTACACAATAAGATCTCTTGTTGACACCACCTCATCATGGAGAAGCAAGCATGAGGCAGCCTTCACTGGGCCTGCCACTTTCCTAATGTTATGAACTTTGTATGTTGTCCTACAACTTTATGTGTATTCTTGATATATATTATGTATATTATAGTTTATAATTATGTACAATTTTTAATGAAGTTATGTGTAGTCTACTATGTCATCCTGAACATTATTAATCTGAACTGATATTAATTTTGAGTGGTTTATCTTTTTTTTTCTTTTTGTTTTGTTTCTCTATTTGAAGCTGTCATACTTAGACAAGGTGCAGGTTAGAGGAGAGATAGTCAGAAAGAAGATTCCTACAATCACTTCATGGACTTCAAGCGATTTGAGAGCAAGGGTCAAGGTTGAAAGAAACATAGGCGGCTTTGGAAGGGGGAAAGTTGTTGAATACATCCCAGTTGCACAGCAGCCACCACCTCAAGAACTGCAACAAGGTCAAGAAGTTGAAAAGGTCACCAAAGCCTTGAAGAAAATGACCACAAGCATTATGGAGTTTGGTGAGGTCATGGCAGGGGTTGGGGCAAACACCTCTGTCATTGATATTATAAAGAATGTATTCAGCAACTTATCCACCAATGCAAACCTCACGCCAAGCCCGAATCCAACCCCACCAGAGAGCCTGCTACGTGATGATGATATATACAACCAGCCAAGTTTCTCGGATGCAGTTGCTGAACTTGAAGCGGCATTCATGGCTACATTGAAAAACATGTCGACTCCTGACATACCTGCACCCACATTTCATCTACTAACGCCAACTGGCCCTGATGCTACTACACCAAACATACCTGAAGAAGTAACAACAAATGCAACTCTACCCGAAACAACACCACCTCCACACGCACCAACATCAGAACCACAAGCAGCATTTGCACCAACATCAGCAGCAACACCATCAGCAGCACCCAACACACCACCACCACAAGCAATGGAAGAAAATACAACACCAATGACCCCAATTGCAACAATCTTGGAGAAGTTGGTTGATGACATAGCTGATGGGTCAACACAATCACTACCAGCCCCAGAACAACAAACTCCAGACCAAATTGAATTTGATAGGTAAAACTCACTTATCACTTAACAGTATCATTATGTGTATTTAATCTAGTAATTATGTACATTTATTTTTGGTTCAGTTTAATATCTCATCAATCATGAACCAATTGTGGTTATGTATATTGCTTTAATATTTTATGTGTATTCTGCTATAATATTGTGTACATTTTTAGCTTTATTAATTATTTAATCATGCTATTATGCCTATTGCTTAAAAGTTAAAACATGTTAATAATTACTTTTCTGTCTCTACAAAGCATCATGGCTGAGTCTGAAGATGAGGTTGAAGATGTCAATGTCCGGAAAAGGCCACAGCAAAAATTCAAGAAGTTCCCTCTGGCCTATCGATCCCCATACTGGACAAGCAACATTTCAAAGCTCAAAAATGTTTCAGCCAGGGAAAAACTGATCTCGGACTATGCGTTCCTGCCACCAAATGAAGAGGAATACCCTTCTTTGTATGTATTTCTTCTATAACTTATAATAATAAATGTTTTCAGTTGCTATACCTCATCATAGATAAACGCTATTCTTATACTCAAAATTATGTGTATCCTGGTTATACATTATGTGTATTACTTCATAACATTATGTACATTATACATTTACATTATG